TATAAATACCCTATCTAAAATGTTCAGAATATGATGAGTCTATACTTTTTTATTTACCATTCCATTAATATTTTTTGGATTTGTTTATACATACAGGGTGACTCAAAAAAAAAAAATGACTGAGTCAATTTATTTTATTGAAGAAATCAAGAATTGCAAAACTGAATACATAGAAATCTTGTCAATTAGTTAGAAAAAAAAAACCTGTCCTGCTCTAATAACATCGAGAATATGCTCAAAATCACACTAATATTCTGTATTATTAAAGTAAGTCACGGACATTTTTCAAAAAGAAAAAAAAATGTTCAGTTTATAAACTTCATAATTTTGGTTTAAAGTTTATCAATCATATTTGACGCTTTATTTTATCCGTTCTATTTGTTATCCTTTACTGCGGTCTCTCTTGGGTCGAGGTGTAAGACCGGACCGAACGTTCTTCGACCGATAGGATAATTTATTACTTCCGACATCTTTTCGGTGACAAATTTAATCTTTGCATACTTCAGCATAGTTAGTGAACTCGTTGTGACCACTGAAATATACAAAGAGTAAATTTTGAAATGGAACGAAAGTCGAAGAATACTTTCAAAGCCACGATCAAAATGTATTTGCTTATCTTCGCCAAAAAATGCATGACGTCATCGTAAAATTTGATATGATGAGTCTATACCTGTGATTTATCATTGCAGTAATATTTTTTAGATTTACTTATACAGCCTGTCTCAAAAAAAGGTCACTTCGATTTTCGATTTTTCGTTTTTTCGACCAACAGTTTCATCGAATTAGATTTTTCAGTTTCCATTTTTCTATCAACTTTTCGATTTTATTACTTTCCAATTTTCTGATTTTTCAAGTTTGCGGTATTTTGAATTTTCGAGTTTTCAGTTTTTTCGTTTTTCGATTTTTTAATTTTTCGTTTTTTTGATTTTTCGATGTTTCGATTTTTTGATTTGCCATTCTTTCAATTTTCGATTTTTCGTCTTTCCATTTTTAGATTTTTGGATTTTTCTGTTCGTCAGCTTTTAGACTTTGCAATTTTTTTGCATTTTTCGATTATATTTTACTTTCCGATTTTTTTGATTTTTGAATTCTCGATTTTTCAATTTTCCGGTTTTTTAATTCTTCTATTCTCGATTTTTCGATTTTCCATTAATCATTAAATTTTCCATTTTTCGGTTGTTTTATTTTTCGACCTTCGATTTTTCAACTTTCGATTATTCGATTTTCCATTTTCTGATTTTACGATTTTTCGATTTGCGATTTTTCGATTTTCGTTTTTCCGCTTTTATGGTTTTTAGATTTTTCTGTTTGTTTCAGTTTTTATGGTTCTGCGATTTGTTTTATTTTTCCATTTTTCGATTATTTTACTTTCCGATAGTTTGATTTTTGAATTTTCGGTTTTTCCATTTTTCGATTTGGGATTTTTGTCAATTTTTCGGTTTTTTAATTCTTCATATTTCGATTTTCGATTTTTCAGATTTGTGGATTTGTGTCCGTTTTTTCGATTTTTAGAATACTGATTAATCGAATTTTCGATTTTTGAGCATTTCGATTTTTCGATTATCATTTTTACGATTTTTCAAAATCTCGATATTCGGGTTTTCGATTTTCCATTTTTCAAATTTTCAATTTTTAATTTTGCTTTTTTCGATTGTTGCTTTTTAGAATTTTCCCTTCTTCAGCTTTTAGATTTCAATTTTGTTACTTTCCGATTTTCCACTTTTAGATTTTTTTATTTTTTTTCGATCGTCGTTTTTTCGATTTTCATTTTTCCGATTTTTTGATTTTTCAATTTTTAGGCCTTGCAATTTTTTTAACGTTTCGCTTTTTCGAGTATTTGTTTCATCGAATTTTCGACTTTTCGAGTTTTCGATTTTCGATTTTTCGGTTTTTCCATTTTCCGATTTTCCATTTTTAGATATTTTTCGATTTTTTTGATTTTTCGATTTTTCTGTTCGTCAGTTTTGAGACTTTACAATTTTTACTTTTCCACGTTTCTATTATTTTAGTTTTGGATTATTCAATTTTTGAATTTTGTTTTTTTTTTTTCATTTTTCGATTTCCGATTTTTTAATTTTTCGATTTTTCGGTTTTTTAATTTGTCGATTCTCGATATTCCGATTTTCGATTTTTCAATCTTCGATTTTTCATTTTCCACTTTTCGATTTTCCACTTTTTGATTTTACGATTTTTCGATTTTTCTGTTCGTCAGTTTTTAGGCTTTGCAATTTGTTTACTTTTCGATTTTTCGATTATTTTACTTTCCAATTTTTTGATTTTTGAATTGTCGACTTTTAGAGTTTTCAATATTATGAATTTTCGAATTTTCGGTTTTCCTATTTTTCGATTTTTGATTTTTCCATTTTTCGGTTTTTTGATTTTTCAATTCTCGGTTTTTCAATCTTGCAAAGTTTCGATTTTTAAGATTTGTGAATGTCCAGTTTTTCGATCGACTTACGTATTAGATTCATTGAATTTTCGATTTTCGGTTTTTCCATTTTTAGATTTTTGATTTTCCAGTTTTGTATTTTCAGATTTTCTGTTTTTGCATATCTGGTTTATCAAATTTTCGATTTTTCGGCATTTCGATTTTTCGATATTTGATTTTCGAATTTTAGATTGTTCAGTTTTCCATTTTTCAGCTTTTAGACTTGAATTTTTTTACTTTTCGATTTTCCAAATTTTCGAGTTTCAATTTTCAGATTTTTGATTTTTCGATTTTCTTTTTAAATCTTTGAATTTTTCGGTTTTGATTTTTCGAATTTTTGATTTTTAATTTTTCCATTCTTCGGTTTTTAGACTTCAATTTTCTTTCTTTTAAATTTTTCGATATTCTATTTTCCGCTTTTCAGAATTTTAGATTTTCAGTTTTCAGACTTTCGATCATTAGAATTTTGGATTTTTCAGTTTTATGATTTTTCGATTTTTAGAAAATTTGAGTAGTCGAATTTTCGATTTTTCAATTCATCGATTTTTCCATGTTCAATTTTTCAATTTAAATCTTGCGCTTTTCAATTTGTCCATTGTCGATTTTTAGAATTTTCGGTTTTTCAATTTCTCCTTTCTCAACTGTTGGACTTCAATTTTGTTACTTCCCGATTTTTTGGTTTTCGATTTTCCAATTTTCAGAATTTCCAAGTTTCTTTATTCAGATTTTCGATTTTCCACTTTTTCGATTTTAGATTTTTCGAATTTTTGTTATTCCAATTTTTTGCTTTTTCGATTTTTCTGTTCGTTTCAGTTTTTACGCTTTGCAATTTTTTCTACTTCATATATATTGATTATTTTAATTTCCGATTTTTTTAATTTTTGTTTTTGATTTTTTTAATTTTCAATATTACTTTTCGAGTTTTTGGTTTTCCAGTTTTTCAATTTTCGATTTTTCGATTTTTGAGGTTTGTGAATTTCCACTTTTCGATCGACCTAGGTATTTGATTCATTGAATTTTCGATTTTTTAATTAGCCATTTTATTTTTTTGATTTTTACGATTCGTATTTTTCGATTTTCTGTTTTTTGCATTTGTGAATTTCATTTTTTCCGATTTTTGATTTTGCGCATATTAATCAAATTTACGAAAAAGTTACCATGCTTACAAAAACTTCAAAACATCTACAATATTTCAAAGTATTCAATTTTGCTATTCTTGATTTCTTCAATAAAATAAATTGACTCAGTCATTAACGTTTTTGAGACACCCTGTATAACCAAATCTAAAAAATATTAATGCAGTGATAAATCACAAGTATAAAAACTCATCATATTTTATACATTTAAGATAGGATTTATTCTGCAAAATTTTGAGGTGACGTCATAAATTTTGTAGAGGGGACACTCGACAATATCGTTTTTTTTTTATTTATTATGAACATTTAAGAGTATTTTATTGGAAAAAGTGATGAAATTTTTTATACGGAACAATTGGTCGAAAGATGTTAGAAAGCAAAATAATTCATGTCCGGACCATCGTTACTCACGAACGAAAGTGACCATTATTTTATGGGAACAACTACCTGCTAAATCTTCTCCGACAAATTCGAGAGAACTGGTGTGAGCCATAAATATTTCTTACCAAATGTAAATTTCGTTGTAGTTTGAGCCTACCTACAAATTCTGCCCTTGTAGGATTTGGACCGCCTTCTTCCGTGAGGGCAGGCAAAAACGATCCGCCCATAGGCTCAAAACATTTGCGTGCGTACAAGGATGCACACTGGGTCCTGTGTGATTGCTGACGTTGGCAAACGATATTGTTATAAATCATTTTTAACAACATAAAGGTGGCACGTCAGTGCTTTAAATCAACCACAATAACCTATTTGTTCGGAATATCACTATGTTTTTCTCTGTTTAAAAACAACCATAAAAAAATAAAATATTCATTAGCTTTTACGGACTTGTATTCGAATAAAGAAATTTTTATTACAAGGCCATCTCGATAATGCTAGGTGACAATACATCAAAAAAATACTGACTTTGAACGAATGAATGATTACCGAAGTAATTTTCCACCGATACAAAAAAAATATAACATGGTGGATGTTACACAGGCCGTTGCTTTCGACGGTGCCGTGTTTCCTATCTTTATAAAAGTATAAAATTACGGAAGTTATAAAACAAAATAAAATGAATTATTCAGCTTTGACTTTCTATATCTACGAAGCGCTTGTGTTATTTGTGACATTTACGCATAAATATGTATCGAGTAGTTATTTTTTTTTTGAGTGAAAAAGTGCTCGTGCGTTGAATTTACGCAAGCCTGCGCCCCCGGGTGAGGCGTCCTCGCCGCCCCCGGCGTTGCGCTCGCCGCCACAAGATGTCGCCGCCGCCTCACCTTTTAAATAGGTCTCCCGGGGTAATGTGCGGAAGATTTGTGCACCGATGACGCAATCCGACCGGGACGCCGCGAACTAAACAAACCGTTACCGTGGCAACAAACAAGTGACGTCACTCGCGACGTCAGCCGGTAGAGAGAACCGAGTTATATATCGACGACGGCGGCGATCGTCGTCATTGTGCTGCGCCGAGCGCGAACGCGAGTGCTACCAAGTGATCCTACTAGTCCACAACTTTTATATTTTTCTACTTTTATATCTGATATTTGTATAGTTTGTTTATTTTATTACTTAGAAGTTATATTTTCTCATCGTTTTATACGCTTCTGGTAAGTGCAAGTTTTTTTCTAATAAGTGCCAAAATTCGGGATCGGGTTTCAGATAATTGTTGCTTTGTCGCGGGGCAACGATAAGCGATAGTGCGTCTCTGGTGTTAAATTTTATTATCGGGTCACGTGATTGCGATCGCATGATTTCGACCAGGTTTTTAGTGAGAACGCGGCCTAAGCGGCCTTCGATCAGGCGGACTTCGCCTAGTTTCGCAGGTATGGACGGCTTATCGCGAAAATGCACTCTTATCGCCATGGAACGGCTCCGGGAAATTCGCGGCCCCGCCGATTTTTCTGCATCGCGATAGCGATTTGGGTCAATTGCTGTGTTCCGGTCGAGCCTTGTATCAATTTTATTATTAACCGCTTCACCTTGTAATTAACAATGTTCTTGCGCAAAAATCACCCGCATGTTCGAGGCGCTGGATTCCATTCGTATTAGAGCGGATTTTTTGGCGGCGGGCCAACTATCCGGTCGACATGTTTATAGGCCAAAAGTTGGCACATTTGGCAAATAAGGACACAATGCGAATCCAGGCGATTAACCGAAATAAATCGGAAAAGTACGGCCCTGGCGAGGGCCAGCTGGCGCTCCCGAGACCAACGCGAGTGCCACTTCCGAACTAATCTTTTTGCTTCTTTTCAACGCGAGCGAAATTTTTAACAACTTATTGGCATGAGTCACTTGAGTCTAAAAACAATTATGTAAACAAATTTTGCTGTATGTCAGAATTTTCGGTGTACCACATTTACGTGATGTATAAAATTTTCACACTGTGTTAAATATTTACACGTTGTGTACGTGCGGCTGAAAACAGCAGAATTAGAGTTAGCCATGTTTTGAAATTCCGGTTGGTACCTCTGCTGGGGTTTTTAGCTCAAGATCGTCACGTGGCATTGTTTATAATGTGACATTTATATCAACTTTCGTGTCAGAAGTATAGTCAGTGTTTTTTTTCAATATATTTTTGTTTTTGTGTTCTATTATTGATAAAAGTTGTCATAAATATCGCATGTATACAGACTTATCTGGACGATCAAAGACCTGTTAATAAATTTTCAGATGACGTCATTAACTTTCGATGGGGATAAATATATCAAATCTGATAGGTACACTGTAAAACCGATAAAAATAGTACCATGTTTCCAGAGTTTTGTAAAATTAGATAAACATTTTTGATGTAATCAATAAAATGAGTTGATTTATTCATCAATTTTTCTAAACATCCTGTGTAAACAATGGAAAAAATAAAAATATATTTCGAAATTTTGCCGTAACGTCACCAACTTTTAGAGTTGTTCTGTAATCACTCAATCTTATTTTTACGATACCTTATCATAAAATATGGATACATTGCCAAAGCTATAAATTTCAAGCGCGATTTACTTAACAAAATTTTGCGGTTACGTCATCAAGTTTTTGGAAGGGATGAACAGACGAACCCAGACCAGCAGTCCACGATAACATCAAACCCGTGCATAAATTTAAAGTAGTCGGTTGTGTAGTTCCTAATTAAGTGAGTGCAACTTTGATTGTTTGCGAAAACCCACATTCATAAGGTGAGAACTAGTGATAGATGATAAACCACAAGAAGCTTATTATTCGCTTTTTGAACCAGATGCACTTAGCAAAATTATACAGTGACGTCATCAGATTTTTAGTGGGGATTACACAAGTCTACGGACACACCTAAACGTAAAAACGTAATTAGAGCTAGCGCACTTAAACTTCGATTCGTTGTGACATTTCGACCCGCAGCCAACTCTAATCCCCTTTTTCCGCTCACTCTATTAACACAACCCGACAAAAAGAACCCGACTGCCGCCCCCGAGCCGCCGTTTCCGCCCACCCCTTATATTTTTATTTCCCCGGCGAAGATTGCCCTGGCGGCTTTAAAAGTTCAACTTTCGAATCTCCTGGACAACGACAGCCATTTTAAAAAGTGTCCGAGCGTCGCGACGCCGCTCCAAAATTCCCATCTATTTAAGGATTGTTGCCACGTGACGGGCGTGACGTAACGCGACCTTGCTGATTATGTGGAATCATTTGTAGGACGTTTAGATTAATGGACAAATAGCGTGCACATGCATTGTGTATTCAGCGCGTGGAAAAAACAAAGACGGACACACGTACACGTATGATTTGCGTATTTCATCTTGTAGTAGGTTTGTTTTCGTATCGCCGGACCCCCATTGACCTTTTCGTGCTGGAGTGAGTTAATGCGTGCACGGTTTGCTTGCGGCGACGGATTTTTATTAGTGAAATAATTGTATGGAGAGCGTGGCGAAAATCTTGATGAGGCAAACCAGATCACTTTTTTTTTCGATTCGGTGTGACGTCGGACGGATTTATAGTGTCATCGTAAATTTCGGGAATTGTTTGTTAATTTGTTAATAGATTGGGCTGTAAAGTAAGTACGCAAATTCCGTAAATATTTGTCGAAGACGGTGTTACGAAAAATGTGTACACATTTTGACAGTTTTTCGATTCAGCGAAATTGCTACACTAAATTTAAACAATTGGCCCGAAACTAATTTTCTAAAACAATATATTTTTCCCGCATAGTCGAGCTGTTGCCATAACAATATCCTCGCATATTTTTTATTTCTAAATTTAAAGTCGAGAATTCTGAAAACTTAAGTATGAAAGAATTCTAGTACAGTTCTAGACATTAAGGTGGATTAGATGCGCCCACGTCAGATTTAACAATGCAATACTGGTCTCCATTTAGCCCATAACCTCAAATTTTAATGGTAATGCATGGGTGTAACTTCAATTTTTGCTTATCACTGTACGCTTCGCATAAAACTCGACATAAAAAGGTGATTATGGTCAACCCACGTAACCACGGCTTTTGACAAGCTTAAGTCTGTTCTAACCGTGGAAAACTCCATAATGCGGAATTTTCCACTCTCGATGTTACCCAACGCGTCTTCGCGTATACTTTGATGTGTGAAATAAAAAAAATGTTTTTTTGTGGACACGCGATTTATCGCAACCAATCCATCTGCGACAGTCCGTAGTGAATCATGGGTCCGAGACAAAAAACAAAACCCCAATGCCAAATCTAATAATCGGTGTGAATTGGCATAATGTCAAGCCGTTTTTTCTCACAAATTCTGGCATTGTTCGAGTCGAGACCGGTGTGACGTAATGTTTGCACGTATTCGTCCACGTGACGGGATTTGTAAGATTGTCTTTGATGTAAGAGACCACGTGTAGCCTTATTGATTTAATTTCATAAGTGATAATTGCAATGGGTTTTACAACGTCTACGTAGTCAAGGTCTCGAAAGGTGGTCGACAGTTCGCGAAGGCTTGGATGTTCGCGGTCGTCCGAATGAGAAACTTCCTGGTGGGTTTCCTGGTATGTTCGCAATTGGATGATTTGTGGAATAGCCTAATTACGGAGGCTTGGAAGCCGACTCCTGGAGCGTTTTAAATTCGCTTGCAGTTTATTGCAGCCTTATCTCTTTTTTATTACATCTCATTGTCTTGCAGCCGCATGACCGACATACGCCTCAAGATTAGCTCTTAAATGGTATGACCTCTAAGTGCGCAATATGTAGAACGTAACCTAACCTAATAAATCGCACAATGGAGATATCATCCGGTGCTTACATAATTTTTGCGGAATTAGCGACACGTCTACTCTTCGTTCGAGAGCGTTTTTTCAGTTCAGTAACCGCATCGGATGACCTTTTTAAAAACTAACGGCTCCGAATCTTTCTTTTATCTCGCAGTGACAAGGTGGAATCGCTTCGTTAACCATATTCGGCCAACACGTCATCCGTCCATTGTCGGAAAATTACCCAATCATTTGGCGACAAATTGGATCGACATGCACCGACTATTGACGATTTCATGCTTTCGAACGATTTTTATTTTACGGTTGTGCAAGCGACTTCGACCACGCGACAGGGCGTCGACGACAAAACGTCGTCCGGCTATTAATACGTCCAGGTCCGGTCTTGTTTTCGCCAAATATTTTCACTATTTTTAGAAGCGCCGGCCCTGTTACAATATTCGGGCAACAATCAGCTGATGTGGCGCGCTTTGATATTTATATAAGCTATAAAAGCACATAAAGCTCAAGTGAACGTTCTAAAACGGGGTCGTACTGCCAGATCGATAGTAATGCTGCCAACGCCCGGTTACCGTAGACACTACCACGATCAACAAACATATTTACGCTAAAAGCTCTTAAAACCGAAATGGATCTTCGAGCTTTGACATATCGAGTGGAATCTCCATTAGAAGCGGCCCCTCGCAAATCTGCATTATTCGCCGAATAAACACATTATAAATAGATCGGATGACGAAAAAAAGAAGTCCGGAGCTTGTTAATAACGACACACCGTAATTGCGAGATAAAGGCTTTAATTGCGCTTTTTTCGGACGCAATTATAATTGAGTTACCTGATTCGGCGACAGCGCGTCTTTGTTGTTGTTTTAATTTCTTTTTAATTAAAAAAATCCACGCCAAGATGACGGATAATTAACCGGAGTTGTTCGTTTTCGCAATTAACGCCAGATAAGCGCCAACTCGACTACATTTCCTCAAAACTTTTTGTTCCGATCGAATCGCTACCATCGCTCGAAGACTCATCTAAAAATAAGTAAAACATTCTGTGCTCCAATTCGACGGCCAAACCCAATACTGTTGCGTAGGCAGCGATATTCGCTCCATCACGCGCTAATGGTCGTTCTGTCTGTCTGCTTGTCTGCTTGCGATCTCTTGCAAGAGTGCGGAAACCCGTCCTGAGTCACCGGGCGAAAGCCGATCAAATCGGCGTTGAGCAAGTTTTTCTGTAACGTCCGCGCATCAAATTATCTCCGTGAGTGAAGCGTAGCTGCTGTGCAAAACAAACAATAAAAAGTCCATTTGGCATAATTAGCTTGGAAATAAACGCGCAAAAATTCGCGTGTTATGACATTATTTTTGGCAGCGGGCCTCATGATTCACGAAATGAATGTCGCCGCGTCTCAGGTACAGATTTGGCGTTTTCGTTGTGACGTCGCGCGAATTTTCTCAATCGATAGCTTACTACTGTAGTATGTTTCCGTTGGTTTTATTTTCGAAGCAAGTAAACGGATTTTATTTCTGGAAGGTTCGTGGAAGAGCGGTGCGAGAAAACTGAATCGATGTCGTTAATTATTTAAAGAAACAATAACAATACGGGTCAAGGTGGATACAGTGGGTGAATCCGTATGAATTCGAAGTGGGAAAGGCTGACAATACAGCGGAATAATACGCAGTTGCGATTGCTCATTAAACTTTTCAATAACATGAGATTTTATGGCAAGGACTGGCTAACCTCCGCGAAATCCGCAAAAACGCTCAATATTCACAGAGAAAAGAAAGACGGATAATAAGGAGAGCGAGGCTTCAATTATTCATCGTTCGGAAATTAACTTATTCGGAAGTTAACCCTTCCTGTTGCACGAGGCTTAGAAGCTTCGGAATTGTTGCAGATCGATACGGTTTCGAGAACTCGGACGTAATGAGCGGAGAAGAAATTCAAGAAATTAAATTACGTAACGACGGTTTATTTATCTTAGACCGCAGGATTTATTCAACAACCGACAGTTTTTTCACGACACTTCCAGGAAAAACGGGTTTCGAGTCAAAAACATTTTTCTCTTATCGATACATGTTGCCAAGTACGCGTTTCGTAACACTTTGTACATAAAAAAGTTATAGTTGTGTGTAAGTGTAAATAATGGTCTTTTTGGGACAACATTACGTAAAGTTCTGGTGTTTTATAACCGCAATAACGACTACAATCAAATTTAAATTAGTCGTGTTTTTTCGATTTAGGAAATTCAATTACACGTGCATTGTTCGAACTGCGTTCAATTTTTTCGCCTGTGGTTGTTGTTCGAGTCCTAGACTTTTTGCGAAACGTTAAAGTTCAGCGTGATTCCCCCAAGAAAAAAATCGAACGAGTCCTGAGGCGTCTGTTCCGATTCTCAAAACACTCAAATTCCCGATCAACTTGCCTCTAATTGCAATCATTGAAAAGAGCGCTTCCTGATGTTTAGAGGTCGGTTTTTCGTCAAAGGTCAAGTTTCTTCGACACTTAATCAGAAAAACACACCCACGAGTGTATTTTTTCCATGAAAACAACAAAAATGTGTATTGGAAAATGAAATTAATGGAGCTTAATAGTTTGTAATGAGTAAGAAAGTGACGTCCTCGCACGAAAAAATTACTCTGTAAACGATTTGTAACACTGTTTACTTTCACGAGGAAAAGACGCAATTATTACTTGTATTTATTAAGTGATAATTGCGGTATATTCTGGGATTTAATGACCGAAATGACTTTTTATTAAAAAAAAACACGTGGCTTGAAATTATCAATCTAGTCAAGGGTCGTTCGACAACGTGGTTTAAATGTAATTTCGCTGTTCACAGATACCAGGTGTCACTAATTGTGACAATGATCTAATAGTAAATAAAGCTTACAGTGCACTTTCTCTCGTCAAAACTCTACAATACGCGACATTCGATTTAATATCCTTGTAAGTATTTAAAAATTGCTTGACCCTCGTGTATCATCATTTTTTATAGACAGTGAGCATTAATTTAACTTACGCAACGAACCCCTTTGAACAAACTAGAATTTCAAAAATAACACGGCTTTGGGTAATGCGGCGCCGTAACTAACCCCTGTTTTACACCTGCCGTTAATTTTTCAGCCGTTTTTGCCAAAGCTGCACCTGCCAGTCGCCACCAAGTTAATTTTTTATTCTATCGGTTCATGTTCGGTTCATTGTCATGTCGCTCTAATTGAAACGTATTGACGCAGTTTCCGCTTAATGCCGCAGTAATGAAACGGGATATTTTGCGAACGACGTTACGCTTGTTTTCATATTTTTCGGGCTTTGCACAATTCCGTTTTACGACGTAATATAATTAGAACGAATTTCGTACTTGGAGGGTGTCGTGGTGGCTAGAGGGCGTTGTACGTGACTTGTGGAATGTCGTTTTCGTCGGTCGCCGCTAGATGTCGCAACGTAATTGATATGCACTTCCTGCAATGGAAAGAACTGTTTTAATCCGACGTAATGAGCCCCCGATTAGAACTAATTTCAATTAGCTACGGCTAAAGCCAAGTACCGATAATTCGTATCGGAAGTAAATCCGCCGTTTACCAGAAATTATTCGGTTAATGAGTGTTTTCTACGACTTTCGCGCGAAAGCGGGCCCCCGTTCCTCATCCGGTTTTATGGGGCATTGTCAAAAATTTCATCGGCGATAAAGCTCAATAAAGGAGATGAGACGAGATAAAAAATAAATATCGATAAAAAATAAGTGCCGAGTCTGGACGGAAAGGAAGCGATGCATGTACGAGCCTTGGGATGTGACGAGTCGACCCTGCCTCGTCCCATTACATCGGTAATGGAGTAACTTCCTCGCAATTACGCTGTTTAATTTTTTAGTCGCCTAATCTGTACTTTTCGCTAAAATCGTCCGTCGAGTTGAAAAGTGTCCCCTGATTAATTCTGAAGGTTGCGGCTGCTCGTTCGAATTTTGCGATTTGGAAACGTTTCCGAAACAATGGCGATATTCAAACTTGTAAAGGTTGCCGATCGCGCGTAAAATTATAGTTTTAATCGCGTTACACGCTCTTATCGGGCAAACGAATTCGGCGATTCGTCGCAGCAATCAAGGTTGTGCATTAGACGTCATGTAAATTCGCGTTATTTGCTTCATTGAGCAAATTATCTCATCTGCAATGATCAAACAACGTATCAGATGTTGCCAAGTGGAAAATTCTCGTGTCGGGATGGTAAATTTTATCGCACGCCCACGCAACCATCGTGGCGAAAATCAATACTCTGTAAATAAATTTGCATGTTGGAGAAATTTGTCGCAAAAATTGCGACTTGTCGCAGATTGTCGATCTGATACGCTCGATAAGTTTCTAATACGGTTTATGTAGCCGGATTAATGCCCGGAAATGAGATACCGCCCCGATGTTATTGCCGATGAATAATTATGAAACTCGAAATTGTCCATCGCGTTTAACCTTTCAATTATTCTTTGAATGATTGATCACAAAGCTCGAGCGGAAGTGGAAGTGCTCGATCTTTTTCTATGATAAATGTCGGAAGTGCTTTCGAGCTTTCAAATTAAATTCGCTTTGCTTTTCCCGGGCATGGAATCGATTCGCATTGCGAGCCCACGTAGCGTTATTATGTAAGAGTTGGGGCAGGACCCCGCCAAACGCACCCGAAACAACACACTCCGCCATTTTGAAAGCGCGCTAATTTCAAAACCCAACACACCTCAAAATAAAAAAAATATCTATTTCAGCGTGTCTTTGCCAGTTTTCGAGTTTCCGTCGCTCCGGTGACTCCTCGCCACCGATCTTCGAAATTCTTGGGTCTTGTTATCCGCCGTGCCCGACCGAAAAGCTGTAGAAGTCTTGCGTAGACGTTACAAGTTGCGATCAATAACACGCAACTCGACTCGTGACGAATATAAAACTAGGTCGCACCCAAACAGCCAGCTTGACACATATATACCGAAGTAGCCCCCAACATATGGCTTTTAACGATCAGAGAGCTCAATTTTTAACGCGATGCAAATGGACTACGAGGACCGTCAAACGCTCGAGGCTCCATTTATGGGAAAAACGAACGCGCGGACACGAACACAAACATGCCCCAAACCGCAAAAGTTGCTCATTGATCCGCGCTTTTTCGGACTGGAGTCGTGCTCGATAAATAGCCGAGCAGGTTTTAAATTATGAAGCAGAGCTTTCGTGCCCGGATGCAGCGAGATTGCTTCTTTAACATGGACGGGTTCGAAACGTCGTCCGAAATACGTTTCGTGTGGTATTGATTGGTAAAAACGAAGTATCCAACTTTCGGACGGAAAGGTTAAACTTCTAGTCGAGTTCCACGATCTGTGGGTTTGAAGACGCAAACAAATAAATGAGATCAAGGATAACCTCCGACTCACTAAAAATTTGTATTGTTAGTTTATGTTGACTCGTTTTGCGGTCGAGGAGCGGCAAATCGTTGGGGTCGATAGTACGGGTGTAAAATTCGTGTGCGGCACGTTCGAGAAATTACGGCGAAGCGCCCTTGAGCTCAATTCCGTCCGACCATCAATGGGAAGAAAGAGATTGACGACTTGTTTGATTATAATTTAACGCTTCCTCCTATTATGCATTTGATGGCTTCCGTCAGCAACGTTGCACTGCTCCCATTACCGCCGACCCCTCGCACTAATCGCACTTTTTTCTTTCCAGATCACGTACCTTAATTTCTGAAAGAAAGAAACCAAACGGAACGCTGTAAAAATTCATCATAGAGAGAAAAACAAATAAATGTTTTATTAAAGTCCCACGCGAGCGATACAAACGAATCCAGAATCCTCACACAATGCATATAGAAGTACAAGTAGCTTTGAACTTCGTAATATCGTACCTGTACAACAAACTTCCGAGACGACGAGTGAACATATTCGGAGAAGAGTTAGAAAAAGCTTTAAAAGACAAATTCCAAGGTCACTGGTACCCCGACAAGCCCTTCAAGGGTTCGGCCTTCCGCTGCCTCAAGACCGGCGACCCCATCGACAAGGTGCTCGAGCGGGCGGCGCGCGAGAGCGGCGTGCCCATCCAGGACATCCTGGAGAACCTGCCGCAGGAGCTCGCCGTCTGGGTGGACCCGGGGGAGGTCAGCTACCGCATCGGCGAAAAGGGCGCCGTTAAGGTACGTCATGCATACAAGCCAGCGCACATTTACCGACCCCGCGCCTCTAGGTGCTGTTCAGCGACAAGAGTGACCCGCAGGACGAGAACTCGGCCGACCGAGAGGTGACCAAGACCTTCAACCCGGAGGCGCAGTGCTTCAGGCCGATCGAGTCGGTCAGCTGCAGCCTCAGCAACCTGAGTCTTTCGCCCAAGTCGATCACGCCCTTCGCGGCCACCGCGCAACCGGCGGCGGTGGGGGCGCAGCTGGCGGCGGCGCCGGTGGCGCAGCCCAACACCACCATCAACAGCACCATCAACCACTTGGCTTCGCCCTCGGCGGCACCCTCGCCCACCTCGCTGGGCAACTCCTACAAGGGCTCGCCGTCGCCGGTGCCCGCTTTCATCCCCAGGACCACCACGCCACTCACCTTCACGACGGCCACATTTGCTCAAACCAAGTTCGGAAGCACCAAACTCAAGACGAGCAGCAAAAGAGCCAATCGGTGAGTGCCACCTGCCAACCTAAGTTTGGAACAAATATTACCGGTGTCGGATTAGCAAACGCCCGACCTGGATCGCAGTTGAGGTTCTCCGGTTAATCGTGCGTTTCTGGGGTACACAACGGCCTTAAGTGGCCGGCGTTCTTTTGGCGTAATTAAACTCCGTAATGAGCTTCTAATTATTCATGTCGGAGCAGAATGGCAGACAAAAATAAACCTCTCGAAGGGCGACCGCGAGCTTAATTAAAATGCACACTATTTTTTAATAATTAATGCGACGTGTGAGAGGTCAACCCTCGAAATAAGCGCGCCGCTCCATTAGTAATCAGGACGTTTTAATAATAGATAAAGCCGTACGAAGTTAGTGCTCGTATTTGCGTTTTTTAATTCATGAAGCCCGAAAACGCTGCGATATTTTAAAAAAGGGGAGTCGTTCCATTCATCTACGAATTGCGCAACGCCTAATTGTAGTGGAATATTTTGACGATGATGTAAGCCGAAAGCGATCGAGAAATAAGCTTTACCTAAACACATCCGGCCGCTTCCTTGTAAATCTTTTTCTGTATACCTGTCTGAATTCAGATTTATCTTGCGCATATTTTTGTATTGACATTATAGCAAGAGAGGGGGCGTATGTTTGGCATGAATGCAGATTTTTCTTTTTTAAACGTTGGCTTACGAAGCGCTGAAAGTGGCGTGATTCATTGCGGATTTTGCCAAATTTTAATATAATTAACAATGGAGCTCGATTCATATTTAGAGATAAACAAAAACATGTGTATACTATCCTCAAACATATTTGGCGTTTATGACTTCACACCAATTTGATTCCCATTATAATTCAATAGGCCGTCACAACCGGATGTCTTAAACCCGCTCACCGATACCTACCTGAAAAGACCTTTTCTGGTAAAAGCACAGGGCAGGACTGAGTTTTGCATTTACCGACAACTGCGCCTTTCGAGTTTTTTATTTTAAGTAAAAACAAAGTAACTTTGTACTCAATCATTTTTTATTACAGCACAACTACTTACTTATTAACTACTACTGCTTATTTATTGATCGAAATAGTCACTGTCATCATCACTCGACTCTTCTAAATTAATAATTAACGGTGTTATCAACCGTGCCCTGTACTGGTCTTCTTCTTTTGTGGAATGTCGTACACAATTGGCCCACATTTCGGCAGTTATTTTGGAAGCTTCTTCCCTAATTATGTCAATTGTTGCATTACTAAATTTTGGTGCCGTATTATTCCTTCTTATATTATTTTTCATTTGCGACCAGATTAGTTCGATGGGGTTAAATATACAATGGTACGGCGGAAGTCTAATCACCCTAAATCCACGATCTCGCGCCATAGCATCTATTTTATATTGTTTCTCAAATTTTCGAGTGTGTAACACTTCTAATAATTGTGTCTTTGTGTAATTTTCTTCAAAGTAAAAATCATGTTCTGTAAGGAAATTTTGAAATTTGAAAATTTTAACAAACAAAATTACTCTGAGTCCGGTCCTTCGCGTCTCGACCGTCCCTGGCACGTCGAAAAGGTCTTTTCAGGTAGGTATCGGTGAGTGGGTTTAAGACATCCGGTTGTGACGGCCTATTGAATTATAATGGGAGTCAAATTGGTGTAAAGTCATAAACGCCAAATATGTTTGAGGATAGTATACCGACGTCAAATTGTAACCGTTACAATATAATTTCGTGTCGCCGACTACCGGCAGTAAATGATATGAGTTCGTTAATTCAAAATAGAGGGATCCTTTCAGCGTAATGAATTTAGCTACTTGTGTTAATTGAGGGCAGGGAGCGCCCCCAAAAAAATCGCTCACGCGAGCCGTTTTTCTCCGGTATTAAGTGTGTTTTTTGTTCCAGAATGTCTCCAACCGAATTCTCCAATTACATCAAGCAGCGCGCCATGCAGCAGCAGCTCCACCAGCAGCCCCCTCACCACTCGCCCAGCGGTCGCGCCCTCTCGCCCGACCCCTCAGCCTACTACTTCCCGCACGGCCCCTACGGCCCCCAGTTCCCCCATCGTTCCATGTTCGAGTCTTCCAACCAGTTCCTCAGCCCTGACCTGTACTCGGGCAAGCTGCCCTTCGAGCACACGCCCCTCGGTCCCTACTACCCCAGCAACGGGGCCGTGGGCGCGCCGCCCTCCGCCCCCGCCACGCCGCAGGACAGTGGCAAGCTGATCGACAGCAACTGGCCCTACCCCACCACCGGCCAGTACCAGCACCTCCTGGTGGCCAACTGAGGGTCCTCCTAGGTGCGCCAAACGCTTTCTCGGTCGGTTACCTGCAGTTACTTAAGCGCTTGCGCGCCGCGCCGGCTCGTCTGCGCGGTGCGCGACCGCTGACCCACACATGTCTAGTAATAATCATAAATTATTATCTTATATATTATAAGAGAGATCCCAGCTTGATACTTGATAGATTTTTTTATAAATCGTAGTCATACTAGAGTAGATGTTTCTTACTTTATATAAATGGTGTTTACAGTATTCTTGTAGATTAGAGTGTTTTCTAAATTTTTTATATTGTATGTATTTTTTTATTTTTGTATGAAAAGCTCAAGCTGACATCTAGTCCCAGAAAATTCATGTATATGTATTCAATAAGTGTTGGCATATCATGTCGGGTCCTACAAACCAGTTCTTTTGTTCGTGCTCGTTTCAAGCACCCTTCACTTGACCAAAGTCCCTACTGCGGCGCGCGGCCGGCTTCGGACCGAGGAAAGCTGGCGCCCGACCGGACCCAACGACCGCAACATTTCGAATTATTCGACGATTCTCGGTCTGGTAAGCGGCGTCTTTCGCGAGCCGGCACCACGCGGGAGCCCAACAAACGCAATAATGTGATCTGTTTTAACCAAATTCTATTTGTGATACATAACGATAACGGATGCGGGAATGTGACGCGGGTCGTCGTGTGAAGCGTGCTTTAGTGTCCGTTCAGTATTGCATGCTGCAACCCAAGTTCGATGTGGGTCCTAGATGCTTCCTTTTATTCTCAAATTTTTAAAGAGATGAATTGTTACTATTTTGTACTGCTTGTTTTTATTTGTGTTTTTTTTTATTTTCCACTGATGTTTTATTTTTATTTGTATAAATTGTTGAAGTTAATGATAATATATATTTTGTTATGAGCTGATAGTTTGATTGCACTTTGTTATTTTGTCTGCGTACCTGACGTTGTTAATATCATTCTAGGGTGAATTTTTGCATTGATCTTATAGCTAATTTGTTAACTAAGTAGACTCACGTCTCTCAACGAAAATCAAACTTATTCACAAGTAATAGCTTCTTCTGTGTCTTCCGGAATATTGGCATTATACAATACGATATAACTATACGCTTTTTTGTAATATTTAAAACGGAGTAGTCGGTAGGATGTGGTGTGCTTGAGATGTGGCGTTTGTTCGACTGGCGTGGCGCGAGTCGAGCAAACGACCGTGCGTGGTAGTGGTAGGTTGGATGCGATGGTGCAGAGAACAAGTACAAATCCGAACTATTGTGGATGTTAGTATTCCGGATACTAACAATGAAATTATCATTTCACTCGTTCTCGCAAATACGAATACCAACCGTGAAATACCTGAAATCTAAAAAAAAAAGGAAAAATGTGATTGTCGATGCTTTAGTCTTACAAGTGATAACGAATGTGACTAGATCTGAAAGGTGCAGAATAAAACATAGGCAATCTTGCAACATCCGATTGATTGATATCGAATCGAGTAATAATAACATAGTTTATTTTATTACAACGCGAGATATTTAGCACAATTGATAAGTTAGTAGGAAATTGGGATAAAAAAACACTTGAACAAGTTACTAGTTAGATTTTCCCTCCACACGTGATAAAAACTATTTTTTTAAGCTTTCAAAAGTAAGAAAATTGGCGTTTTTCTCTAACGCTGAAATTTTTGAATACGGGATAAGTTTTGCCTTTTCAGACGGTTGTAGGCAGTCGTCAACGGTGTATGCGTTACCTGTGAAGTCACTAGCATCTTAAGATATCGCGTTACTTAAAACGCGCTAACGCGATATCTTAACGTCGACTAGTCGCAAGCTACACAATGTACATGATTCATATTTATAGATTACTCAATTATTTTATATACTTGCTTGTACGTATTTGCATTTTATCTAAGATCTGTATATAATCCTAGTTACTTGTTGTTTATAATTCGTGTATCTTGTAACCGTATATACACTGTAGTAGACATTTTATAGTTCAATTTTACAGCAAGTGGTCGCAAACTTTATTTCATCTCCTCCTCTATATATATATTATATATAGTACATCACGACGATGATGACTATTTCACTTCGATGTGGCGCGATTAAAAAAAAATGCAACGGCGGCGGCGGTATTCAAGACTTGTGACCACTTGTCTTTCTTTATAAGATACAATATTACAAGTAGGGACTGATGCCCAATTGGAATGTGATGGCTCTTTTTTACTACCGTAGTAGAATATGATAGACTAGGAAAATCTTGCGACAGGACATAGACTTGGCCCCAGACCAGGACGCAACTTGCCTGTGCAGGCCTATTTATGTATGTATGTCACTTATCTGTGTTAGTTTGTTATTACATCTCTATTTAAATTATTAATTGTGACTAAGTCGTAGGTATCTATATTTCATATATAGTGAGAACGGATTTTTCCATCCCGTTATAAAATAAGTAATATGTGTATAATAGTCTATAATTTTTCATATTGTTGTACGATTTTTAAGTTTATATTAAAATGTTTGTGCATTAATTATTTTGGCGTTTTCATCGACACCCACCAACGCGGACTTGAACTTGACGCATTTTCCACTGTAAACATTTACCGCCTCCGTGTAAACCTTATCTATTTGACCCATTTCCGACGCCGCAGAGGTAGACAATCGATAACGACAAAAAACCGCGGGACGGCGGCGCTCGGCAATTGTTCAAATCAGATATCACCTCTATTATTATAAGCAAACAGGAATCGATTTATCCCGTAATAGCGGGTCAAGGTTTACAAGGCCACGGTCTACTACGGAACCTACTAATCGATACGAAACGGAGCATATTTTACCTAATCCCCAGGCACACGTTTCCTTAACCGAAATGGTGCAGAGTATCTCGTTTTACGAGCAAGTGAGAGTACCGAGTTAAATCGAAAAAGAAATAACAACTTAAAACATAGTGGTATAAGTGCAGATCAATTTAACAATCATTTTAGTAATATAGGTCGAAGTATTTGTAACAACTCACAAACATACAACTCGGGAGTACATTTACAAAATTTAAAAATACAATCCGGTAACACCTTATTTGTAAGACCGACCGATGAAACTGAAATTTACAATTGTATCATGGGTCTCAAGGCATCGAATTCGAGAGATATTTACGACTTAAACACTACTGTAATAAAACACATATGTCCTCTTCTCTTGGAACCATTATCATTTTTGATTAATAAATGCATCTCAGAAGCGATATTCCCCAAATGTCTTAAGATTGCGAAAGTAATTGCTGTCCATAAAAAGGGTGACTTAAATAGCCCCAATAACTTCAGGCCCATTTCATTGTTGCCCATATTATCCAAAATCTTTGAACTTATATTAAAAAACCGAATTGTACTTTATTTTGAGCAGAACAACCTATTTGTAAAGCAACAATACGGATTTAGGGCAAACAAATCAACAACTTTGGCTACACTTGAATTAATTGAAAATGTTTTGCTTAACTTTGAAGATCGAAAAATTACTTGCGCCACACTAATCGACTTGAGCAAGGCCTTTGACTGTGTAAGTCACGAATTATTGCTGCAAAAGCTGAAATTTTACGGCATTAGAGGTTTAATACACCAACTATTATCGTCCTATTTAAAAAATAGAGTCCAAACAGTTTACGAAAAAAATAAATATTCAGAGCTTAAGACGGTCAATATTGGCGTGCCACAAGGATCAATCCTTGGGCCAATTTTTTTTCTTGTATTTATCAATGATTTTCCTGTAAACTCCTGTTCTATGAATACCATCCTATTTGCGGATGACACCACTCTAATCAATAGTGCAACCACGGTGGATGAAGTTAAAACCAAAGAAAATATTGCATTAAACAACACTTTGATTTGGTTATCACATAATGGCCTAGCTATGAACAAAGAAAAAAATCAATCAATAGTGTTTTCATTGAGACCGGAAGAAGTTATAGAATCTGAAACAGTCAAGTTCCTCGGCCTACATCTGGATAAAAAAATTACATGGGAAAGCCATGTTGATCATCTGGCTAAAAAATTAAACTCCATTCTCTTCCAACTGCGAAAATTAGTTCTGTTCTGTTCATTAGAAACTGTCTTGACTTATTATCATAGCAACTTCAAATCACTATTATCATACGGTATTCTTTTATGGGGTAATTCTTCTAGTGCCATACGAATATTTAAAATTCAGAAAAAAGCCTTAAGGATAATTTGTAAAATTAGTTCAAGAACTTCTTGTAAAAATCTTTTTCAATCTCTAAATATATTAACACTGCCTTGTTTGTTTATCTACTACACTTTAATCTATACTTTTGATAATCAATCCAAATTTTTTTTAAACTCTGACAATCATTGCTACAATACAAGAAATCGCAGTCAATTAACTATTCCTTATTGCCGTTTGCAAAAGACACAACAGTCGGTAAACTTCATCTCTGTAAAATTGTTTAATGCTGTACCATACACTGTCAAATGTCTTCCAAGAAATTGCTTTAAAAGTAGAATTAAAACAATGCTGCAATCACATAGTTTTTACTGTATTAGCGAGTTTATAGACTTTTGTGCTAACGGAAATTTAATGTAGTCATTTTTTAAGTGTTTGTGAATCTATATATGTATATATGTTTTGTGTACAATCTTATATGTTATACAATTATATAACTTTTTTTTTGACGAGCTTTAATGTACTTCTGTTACATATGAGCAATAAATTTATTATTTATTTATTTATTTATTTATTAATTCACTCACACGCTCGACGTTGCTAACATGAATATGATACGTGATGCTGATGTGTTTACTAGTTCAAGCTTTCTAGTTTGAATAAGCTGAATAGGTACAAAAAGGAAATTCCTATTCTTATTTTTACATTTTAGTTATAACTATACTCTGTAAAGCTGTGATTTATTCACATATCATTCTGGCAGCTGTTGCGTTACGCTTAACAGAATCAAAATAAATGTGCCATTACACGTAAATTGTTGCTAACGGTATTACTTTTGAGTATTTATTATGACAAAAAGAAAAGAAAAAATCGTGATTCTGTTACTCTCTGAATAAAAGCAAAAACGATCTATGGGGTTTTTCCACAATTTTATATAACAGTTTGTAAAATCCTTCTCATTTTAGCTGTTAATTTGTGTTACTTCCACTGGAAAATCATTTTCTAAAGTGAAATGAATAAAAAACTACAGCAGATCGATTATTTACGGGTCAAAAATTATTTCTACCGAATACGAAGCATCTGATGCAAGTGGTTAGATTTTACGTATTTTTCGTTAAAAAAAGAAAACAAAATTTAAACAGTTTGGATACGTTAATTTTGATTTGTAAAATTCATCAGTTTACTAATATGAGGCCAAATATTTTGCAGCTTCTTCAGTTACCCCGTTAATTTTGTGCAAATTTCTCGAAATTTGCCATTCATGCACCTTGCATCTGCATGTCATGCGTCTATTAGGCAACCAACAATACTCCAACAGAATAAATAACAGCGTCGCAGACCTTTGCTCAGCAATTAAAACACGCAGAATGCATAAATCCATACAAATGAGGTTATCGTAACTGGTATTACTACTATTTTTAAAACATTCGAATCATGTTACGTTAAAAACAAGCATATCTCCTCATTCCTTTAACTTCTACGAACTTCCTTCGCTCCTCCCTCTCCTCAGCAGCCAACACAAAACCTAAATATATACGTTTTATTGTAGAAAAGTCATACATTATTATACCTAACTAAACATGTATGTACAATTTTCTTAGGCACAAATGATGAAAAGATAAACCAGTAACAAACTTTTCAGTAAAAAATAAAATGTGTAAATCATACACAACCTAGCAACAACAGGAGTAAGTTAACATGTATATAAAATAAAGAAGAAAAAAAAAATTACTTGTACAGTATACGTCAGAACGGATGTGCTTGAATCGTATGCGTCCTCAAATCCTTCGGTAAATCGAACCCCATATTACAAATCGAGCACGAATACAGCGGCTTCCCTCCAGCCGCCGGCTTAACCGTCGTCGTCGACACAACCTTCGGCGTGACCGTCGCCGGTTTACTCGGCGTCGGTATTTTCGTCGACCCCGTCAGCATCCTCTGCTTCTCGTGCACCTTCAGATGAATCCCCAACGAATTCGCCTTCTCGAACACCCTGTCACAGAAGTGACACCGATGCTCCTGCTGTTCCCTATGGAACTGCCTCACGTGCGTCTTCAGCATCTCCGCTTTGCTGAATCCCGCCGGGCACTGCGTGCAGCCGTACGTCTTCGTCTTCGGCTGCTTCTCCACCATCGCGTGGAACCGCTTATGCTGGTCGTACTCCTCCTGCGAACTAAAGTCCAGATTGCACATCTTGCAGCGCGCCGGAAGAACCGTCGCGTTCACGTTCCTGTGCTTCTCCAAAATGTGGATTTGCAGCGCCGTGTCGTTCGGTAAAACGGCGCCGCACGTGGAGCACTGGTGCTGCGGAGTCTCCACTCGGGGCTCCTCTTTGATCATCACCAGCGACTGATCGGTGCTAGGCTCCAGCTTACCGCGCTTGTGCCAGCCTTGATGGGCGTACAGCGCCGACATGGAAGTGAACGACTTCCCGCATAGTTTGCAGCTGGAAGTCTTCGCTCCAGTGCGCTCTTTCTTTTGGTTGGGTTTGTACTCCTCCAAGTGCTCGTCTTTCATATGGTTGGCGAGTTGCAAAGGTGTGGCGAACAAGATCTTGCAATACTTGCAGTTGATCACCGTCTGCTTGTTTTTGACGATGGGTCTGACTTCTTTAGCGTGTCGCTCTTTGTGCTTTTTCAGGGCTATTTTTGTGGTGAAGGTCTGCACACAGACGTCGCAAGTGAAAACGAAGGGTTGTTTCAAGTCGCCTTCGCTTTGCTCGTCGGAGAGGGTGGGCATGCCGTCGTCGTCGGCGTGGTGACCTTCGGCTTTGTGTCTCTCTAAGCTGGCGGTGCTATCGAAAGCGCAATGACAGACGTTGCACCAGACTTTTTTGGTGATCTTTTTAGTAGCTTTGGCGGTTGGGCTTCCGTGAGATTTCATGTGGTTTTTAAGATTCGACCGCGTGGAGAACACCTTGAAGCAGCGCTTGCAAGTGTGGTACGACTCGGAGTCGTCTTCATTGGTTTCTTCCTCCGTGGAAACTTGAAGCTGCGGCGGCTCCAACTGCTTCTTCTGGTTGTTCCTTTCGTGCATTTGTTTGTGCATCCAGTAGGAACCACCTGTGACGAAGACTTTGTCGCAGTATTTGCACTTCTTGGGGAAGTTGCCGCTGCCTCCGAGCTTGTTCTCTGGGTGTTTCTTCCTATTGTGGTCCCACAAACCGGCGTACCCTGCATAGTGCTTGTCGCACAATTTACACGAAAATTTCTTTTTGGTTTCTTCCTCTTCGGCCGACTCGGCGGATTCCAGTACCGGCATGGTCTCATGAGTGAGCTTGTGCTCTTTAAGTTGTTCCTTCGAAGTAAACATTCGGTCGCAGACTTCACACATCACCACGATGTTACTAGGTTCGTTCGGACTCATCATGGTACTCTTATAATTCTGCGTCTTGGAATCTCTATATAGTTTGAGATTCAAGTGGACGCTTCTATGTTGATCGAGCTCCGACTGGAACTGGAACACTTTTCCGCACTCGCCGCACGTCTTTTTTTTGTGCATGCCTTTATGTTTTTCCCACTCGAGGGTATTGAACATGCCGCCGCAATCCGGACAACAATAAATAGAATCATCCACTTCTTCTTCAGTGTCTTCTTGGAAGTGCGTCTTGTAATGTCTCCACATGTTATTATTGCTCGAGTACTCTTTCGAACAAATCGGGCACGTAGTGCCCGGAATCTTTTGCATAAACACTGGATTGATGACTTTGTCGTCTGACGAATCTTCCGACTCTAGAATAGGAGGTTTATAAGAACTTCTCCTCTTTCCACTGACGATGTTTCCTTCGTCGGAGTGTTCGCGTTTAACGCTTTGTCTCGTGTACGTCGTTCTGGTAACATTAGGCGAGTACTTCCTCTGTTTGTAATTGTCATCCTGAAGAAGAATAAACCCTTCAGAGTGATCATGTACTTCAGCAGCGTGCTTCTGGAACGCATCCAAAGTCTTAACCGTGACAAAACAAATATCACAATAAAATTCGACCAAACAACTGATATAAGCATGGTCTTTGTAATCTTCCAGTGAAGTAAAAACTCTCCCGCAGGAACACTTGTACGGAAGATCCACCTGACTGTGGTCTTCGTCCACGTGCGTACAGAAATCTTCATGGAACGAATACATAAACCTGCACTGGGTGCACTTGTAGTTCTGGTACAGACGAGTCTTCACTTCGCTGCGTTTCTTCAAGTTCGACAACTTAATCAAAGTTTCTAGATTCGTCCTCGGACAACGCAAATAGTGCCTGGTGCTCGTCGATCTATCAGTAAAAGTTATCATACAGTGATAACACGTGAAAACCGGAAACCAAATCCTCAAAGCCCTCAAATGCGACAACAACCCTTTCAAGTTCGGATGGACGACATTGTGACAAGCGCACTTCATCGACTTGTGCATGTTCACCATCGCTTTGCACTTCTCAATATAACTGTTCTCGATCCTCGACAAACTCTCCAAAGAAATCGGAGGAGTCGAATTCCTCTGTAACAACTTCAACCCCGCCGCGAACAGAATCTTCTTCTCTTCGGAAGTGGGCTCTTCGTACTGGTGCGGCAGCTCGTTGAGCATATGGGAGTCGATAGAACTCTGCGACCTTTCGTCTTGACTGAGCGAACCTGCGAACAAAGACCACATGGTAGTTGCGTCACGAAGTGACACCGACACTCAGGTAGATAAGAACAACGCAAAATGAATCACACGACGTGGCCGAGTTTCAAGGTAAACCGACTACGACACTCACCGACTTCTGACTCGGTGGTGGAACCGAAAGACTTGGCTCCGTGGATGACCCGCTCGTGCTTCTTGCGATTGCCAGCCGACGCGAAGAACTTGCCGCAAAAGTTGCACTTTCGTGGGTTGTTCTCGTCATCTGTGAGGAAAAGATCGGTCCAGCTACGTCGGGGTTAAAAGCGAACTTACCGTTGGTTAGTTGGGAGGAAGGAGAGTGGGCGACGACTTCCACGTCGCCGTCTTCGGTGCCTTGTGGGGTCAGAGGGGGCGGAAGTTCGTTGTATTCTTCTTCTAAGGGTTCGTTCTTCAAGGACGATTCGCCGTTGATGATCACTTCGGGGGTGAGAGACTCGTGGTCGATGGGTTCCTCTTTGATTTGGATATTCTGCGAAGTTGAAAATAGAAAAGGGGGTGGAGGGAGAAGTGGGTTTTTTACCCCGTCGGAAAGGTCGGCGGCGTTGGTCATGCTGATCTCGGTGCTGCTGGACAAACTGAGCCAATGCTCTAATTTGGTCTGGTTTTCGCAACAAGTAAGTTTATAGGTCTGCCAGTTAGTGACTTTTTCGATGCACGGAAGGCAGACCCCGGTGGAGAGTTTGTCGTCGGGAAGGATCTGTCATGAGAAAAATTGAGTTAGAATTCTTTCACAAGAGAGGGAATTGCCGAAAGAGTGGGTCTACTTTATCAAGTGTAGTATTAAAAAAGACTACAATCAATCGATACATGTTTATATCGAACATATAAAGCGACTATAAAAAAGTGTTTACTGTTGGGACAGCGTCCTCCACAACCTGATTACGGTAATAAATTTGTTCATTGAAATATTGCTACCGACGAAAAAATCTTTTTTATTGCGAGCGTTAAAGTTCTCTTTTGTTCGTTAAATGAGGGTTAAGACAGTAAAGATAAAAATCTCGTGCTTCGCAACGAATCCCACGAGAAAAATAAATTTGTTTTAAAAATAATCGACGAGTAAGTTCCATTTACTCATATAATTCTCGTAAGTGCATATGTAGTAATCAATTTGAATAATAATTGCTCTTCAAAAAATGCATGACGTCACTTGAAAAAGCGTGGTCTTTTATTTCGTAGAATGGTAAGATAATTTATTGATCATTTGGGAATACAAATATAAATAAATTGGCACTGAAAAATAATTGTGTTTGACATGCGATAAGACGGATCTGTTTAGTGACTTTCACTGTAAAACTAACTATCTTGGGTTTTGTAAATACCAATCCAGTAGCGAGTTCAGATACTATTTTTAAAGCAGTGACATTTTCAATAATTGATCAATCCCTAACGAGTCGTTCTTTCAACGGATTAAATTATCTTCCACACGTTGGGGATTAACTCGAAACATCTGACCGAAAATTAGAAAGTGGAAAATCGGGTAGTTTCAGGTAACTCGTACAATATTATAAATCGTTTTATGATTTAAGCGTTTTCAAACCCCTCGCTTGCTAAGAAAAACATCTTCTACCTCTAAACAGATAAGCCGGTCCTGCTTACGAGAAGCCTATCTGTCACACACAAGAAAGGGCCGCTACCTGAGTTTACGGTTATTCCTTGCCAAGGGTGACGAACCTTAAAAAATATTTCAATAACTGTTTATTTAAGCCATGACACACATTTTACAAAATCGTATCTAGAAATGCGGTTTTCATAATATTGTAAAATGTTCTTTAATTTCTTCTCTCTAATTTCAAACTTCAAGATACCTGAAGTACAACCACAACAAAGACCTTTCAGGTGGGAACTTTCACATCTCTTTTCTTCTAGAAAATATAGACTCACTATCTGAAGCATAAATGGTTAAAGCCAAAAATAAATTGCAAATTTAACTCTTACGCAAGTACAGAAAAGATAATCTGAAAATGCATTCATAAAACAACTAATTTTACCACAAGATGTCTAATTTGTATAAATCACTAATGATTCATACATTCTGCCAAGTTTCAAAAATAGACACTCAGTCTTATTTCCAAACTTTTCATACACGAACCATTTTGAATGGATGCAGCTTCATATTAAAGTCCAGAGATAAGTCATTTTCCCACGCTAGTTAAAACACTTAAGTGCCTTGAGACGACTAACTTTCAAGGCAAAAATTTGCAAAAGATCATTCACATCTGACAAGATTACTTAACATCTATTTCAACCCTTTGATCAATAAAACGTGGCTGTTATTTTTAAGCAAACTCTATAGAAAGTACTAAATTCGGTCCGGAACTTATTCGAATTCGAATTTCCGTAAAAAAAAAACAAAGAAAATAAGAACACCTTAGTGTTTAGATCACTGTTAAAAGTCGGTTGTATGACATCACGTCCACAATTACACAGTAAACGTGACGATGGGTAATATTTAATAACAAACTCTGGAGATTAATTTTATTACATTCGTTTAGAATCTAGAACTATGAATCTTGGCGAGACGCGCTAGACAAAAACACCCGTTAAATCAAGTCGTACGATCATTTCAAAATGATTTAAAAAAACCCTAGGGTCATACTGAGGCTCATCTTTTTAATGTTTAAAAAATTATAGACCAATTATTATCAAGAATTGCGAAATATTCAATTATTAAAATTAAATATCAGAGTAATCAGTAAGTTCTAGAATGGTGAAAAAACTGTACGACCTAAAATGACGACCGAATGAATAATGACGACTTTGAAGTTAGATTGTATAATGTAAATGAAAGTCCGAGAATGTTAGAAACTTTAATGGCTAATGTGTGTAAAAAACAAAATGATCATTGATAATCAATTAGTTAATCATATGAAATTACTCTAATGGCAATATTTTAAAAATGATTAGGGGGACGGATTTGGCATCGAGTATAATAACACACTAAAGTCGCATTACACAGATTAATGAATTGTCCTAAATTAATAACGCAAACAGAATTAAGGACAATCAATTAAATGCAGACACCGACAATTTGCTTAAGGAAAATAAATTAAAGGAATTAGGTGAAGACAAAAGAATGAATACAGCGAAAATAACACGAGAAGCTTTCTTAGGGACAAGTATAACTTTGAGTAGTGGTAACACTCGGATAAAAATTTAGCAAGTGTATGAAAATGATGTCATAATTAAATTATCACCGCGAGATAAAACGGATTTGATTAGATTTGCTCACTATCGTTGTTCCGAAATTAATGTGAATGAAACATAAAAATGCACAAAAATTAAGCTTGCATTTTCTGAACAAACATGTGGTGCTTTAACGTAGTACAAAGTTTTATAAAGTAGGTACGTTCAGAAAAAGAAGTTGGAATGAAAAACACACTGTTAGTCACCTTTCCAAATAAATACACCTACAAGATGCGAATATAAGCAATGATGCACACGAACAATCAGTCCCCCTTATCAGCCCCTTCGAAGATAGGTAACAATTATGTACGGTAATGACAGGGTATTAACGGCAAGCACCCACCGGCTTAGGGTGATTAAATTCTCAGAAGATACCTGCAGTACAGAGGCGGAAAGGTGCATTATTAAACAGGCATCGAAAGAATCATCGGAAGCTACTTCGCATTCCGGGAAGCTTCTCTTTGAAAATCGAGTATAGTATACAGCATTCCAAAGATGGTAGAGTCAAGACGATCTTATTCTCGAGGGTGTACAATTTCAATACGGATTCGTTAAAATAATAATCGGTGGCCCATCTCGTTTTGAACTCAATTTGAATGTTGATCGTAGATACAAGCCACGGCGTTTACTTAACAGCCTAGCTATGTTGATACAACGATCAAGAATGATGATGTGGCCTTGCCAAGAATATGGAGGTGCATAGCCGTGTAGTTGCAGTCGCTAGTGCCTTCGAACCCCACAATTCCCCATTTCCTCCACATATTCACGCAATTCGAAGACAACCCGACCTCCAAATCCCACTTTGCGTGATAAACGAAGGGTGATAACGCACTCTCCTCCATATTCGAGCCGAGCGGGCCGTAAGGTCGACAATCCGTGCATTCCTTACGGAAGAATCGCCTTACGCGCCCGCATCCGATTCTTCGATGATTAGTCAATTATCCGCGAATTCCTAGACGCAACAAGGCCGCCTCTACTCACCTCGACTCCCAGACATGAAGAAATCTTCCCCTGCAAGCCCCGATCGTCTGCACTTTCGTCAAAAATCGACTTTAGATTGTCCACGGAGTCGGCCAAGCACAGCCTGCAGCACGAACTGAAATTCGCCATTCGCGATTCCGACATCGTGTCGCCTTCACAAAAGCACTCGCGACGAATTTCACAGGTTTTCGACGAAATCAAGCCGATTTCACCCCAAATTCACTCGACATGCCGAATCTGGGGCATGTTTCTATGAACGCTGTCTGCCTGGAACGGGTACGCCATGACTGTGACTTGCTCCCCACTCATGCCTCGCTCAGGATATTCAACGGAACGCTGGTCGTTGAGCTGCTTGCAAATGGTGGGAAGAAACAGCAGCCGCATAGAACGCTTTTCGCGCTCTTCATAGAAGGAAAATACTTCTTCCAACAGCAGATGGGTGGATCTCGGGCACTGCTTCTGCTGACTTCTATGCAATTCGAAAACGCCGCCGCTGCTGGTACTAGCTTCGCGGTTTTCACTGAAAGAGCGCAGATTTAACGGCTCTTTTATCGATTCGGACCGATAGTGCTTCTTTAGGTCGTTCGAACGATGCGACGCACTTCCTTCTCGCAGACACCACATTTTCCAAACGATTTTTTCGCAAAGTTAATCCACATCAGAAAGACTTCTCTTCTGATAACCCGACTCAAAAATTCCAAAAAAGACTGCATAACCCCCAAAGAGTCGTTTAAATTTACAGAAGCGACAGTCGCAGCCGTGAGGAAATAGTGGAAAATTCCATCTTCGAGCAACACCGGGAGCTCCTCGTGCCTCTACAAAAAACAATCAGTCGCGATTTATCCCCCATTTTCAACTTTTCCAAACCGGAAAATCGTACAAAAGCCGCCATTTTCCCGTGCTCAAAAAATCTCAAAGATCGAAGGTGCTCTTGAAATTCTTGATAGCGTGTTTATGCGAAAACGACCTTCGCGACCCTTTAGCTTGACCCTTTCTTCCACCCCCACGAATTTTCCTGCAAAACAAATCGGATAAAACACCCACAAAAGAAAAAGTCGAAAGAAATTGCAAAGTTCGAACTCCAAAATTGCCAACAAAAAACGCCTAAAAAAATTGACGCATGCGCAGTGCTGCCAACCGAGTTGCGGTGTTTGCCCACAAAATCGATAACAGAACGCGAAAAACATAAATAATAAATAACAAATGTGGCCATTTACCGCAAAAACGCAACTCGTCACCGGCAAAATCTAGTTCCGGATCGGCGTAAATAAAAACCGGAACGAGCGACGACCCAACGAAGCAAAACCGCAATCCGTGTAAAAACGCGACTTTTCACCCCCGCAGTGCTTTCCCCGCAAATACGAGCCCCTCGAGCCCCCTCGGTAACTCAGTCAACGATTATCTCGACCGTGATAAGAATAAGCAAAGTTTGGTAAACATAACCTCAAAATGTCGAAGAGACATGCAGAAGAAAGTTCCAGCGGGAATCCGCCCCCGATTAAGAAAATCCACTTCGAGCCCCATTTGATAGGGCCGGTGTCCACGCTCGAGGAGATGGATATCAAAGTGTTGCAGTTCCAGAACAAGAAGTTGGCCCAAGTACTGGTGTAAGGTTCAATGGGGTGATTTTAACTGGGTTTGGTTGTAGCGAATCGAGCAGCGGTATCGGACTGAACAGGAACTGCGACAGAGGATCGAACAGTTGGAGAAGAGACAGACACAAGACGACGCTATGTTGAACGTAGTGAACCGCTACTGGAACCAGTTGAACGAAGACATCCGGATTTTGTTGCAGAGGTTCGACGCAGAGACCGCGGACGAGTCGGAAAATAAAAGTAAGATTACTGCGTTGTTGTTCCTGTTGTAAAAATGCGTCTTTGTAGACGAGAACGAAGCCACAACTTCATTCCTGTTACAACTATCCACGTGGGACAAAGACGAACTTAACGACAAACTGGCGAACAGAGTCCAGGTGTCGCGGCGCGCCGTCGCTAAGGTCATCCAAGCCTTCGACCGCCTCATGCAACGTAACGAAAAAATTACTCTAGCTTTGAAGGGAGAGCTCGAAGGGCGTAAGTATCTTCTCCTACTTACGTAAAAACTTACACTAATGCCACTTATTAGAGGATGCTCCGAGCGTCGACGAAGTCATTTGTCAGACGAACGTGCAACTGCAGGCCGAAAACCGCAATCTCCAAGCCCTACACACCTCCCTTCACGAAAAATACCACCTCAATAGTCTCAAAGTGGCCGAATTGCACGACTCTGTAACGGCGAAAGAAACCGAAATCGCGGAATTGAAAAACCAAATCGACGACCTCCAGTACGAGCTGGAGAAGGTGAGGAATAGGAATGATAAACTGGAGACGCACCTCGCTGAAGCTATTGAGAAACTGAAGACGTATCACCAGTTGCACGGTGACCCTGAGAAGGGGCCGCAGCAGAAGCAGGTGCAGTCGAACGTGTCGCAGGCGAAGTTGGAGGATTTGATGAAGGAGGTGGAGGAGTTGACGGAATTGGCGAACAATAGGCTGCAGGAGTTGGATAAGTTGCATCAGACGCATAGGGAGACGTTGAAGGAGGTGGAGAAGTTGAAGATGGATGTGAGTATAGTAGGGTTTGAGAATGAAGAGATTGAGAGTTGGGTTGCAGATTCGGCAGCTTCCGGAGAGCGTCATCGTGGAGACGACGGAGTACAAGTGTCTGCAGTCGCAATTTTCGGTACTTTATAACGAGTCAATGCAGCTGAAGACGCAGCTGGACGAAGCGAGACAGCAGCTGCAGACGAGTAAGAACGCACACTTGAGGAACATAGAAATGATGGAGGTACGTTAATAAAATTTGGAAAGAAAATTGGTCTTAAAGCGACGCTTTGTTTTTAGAGCGAAGAACTCATAGCTCAGAAGAAGCTCCGCCAGGAGGTCATGCAACTGGAAGATTTCTTGGCGCAGCTGCGTAAAGAGTACGAAATGTTGAGGATCGAATTTGAGCAGAATTTAGCCGCTAACGAACAAACCGGACCCATAAATCGAGAAATGCGACACCTTATAACATCGCTCCAGAACAACACACAACAACTAAAGGGCGAAGTCCACCGCTACAAGAGAAAATACAAAGAAGCGAACGCAGAAATCCCGAAACTGAAGAAAGACATTGAAGATTTGAACGCGAAACTGGCGCAAGTCCAAGGAGCCAACCAAGAATCCAAAGAAAACATAAAAAAAGAAATCATTAAAGAGGAAGACGGGTCGAATAGCGAGTCGGCGCAAATTAAAGAAGAACCGACGTCCGCACCCACCGTGAAGAAAGAAGAAGACGAATCAGAGGTAGTCGGTTTCACGTTTTGATTAAAACTGACTGTGAATTTGTAGCAAACGGAGGAAGGGGATGGTGAAAAAGGTTCGAATTCTGGGAGTTCTCCGTCAGGGAAGAAGGACGCCGTGAAGCAGGAGAAGAACGCCACGAAGAAGGAACCCACGAAGACGGAAAAGGACCACCGCGAAGCACAGAGGGTCAAAGATGCGAAAATCGCCGAAAGCGAGATAGTTAGGGACTTGAAAAACCAGTTGAAGTACTATTTCTACTTACTATAGAGTTCATTTTTATTGTTTTTATGTTTCATCAGGAAAGCTTTGAACGAGCAAAAGGAGATGAAGCTCCTCCTCGACATGTACAAGGGCGTCAGCAAAGAGCAGCGCGACAAAGTCCAACTCATGGCTGCCGAAAAAAAACTCCGCACTGAGCTCGAAGACATCCGCCAGCAAATCAAGAAGATGCAGGTTGTATCTCCGCCCCTTCCTTCGCACACTAATCGTCTCGTTTAGGACAGCAAGAGAGACGACAAGCGAAAGCTCGCCGAAGACGAGGCCATCAAGAAAATCAAGCAGCTAGAAGAGCAAAAATACGAACTACAAAAACAGGTAGCGTCTCAAAAACCTGATGCGAATTGGGGTCACAATGTTTTGCACCAGATGCGTCCGTTCGTCGGCTCCCACGAAGAGGAGGCCCTCCTCAACGAGATGGAAGTGACGGGGCAAGCGTTCGAGGACATGCAGGAGCAGAACTCGCGCTTGATCCAGCAGCTGCGCGAGAAAGACGACGCCAACTTCAAGCTAATGTCGGAACGGATTAAATCGAATCAGTTGCATAAGCTAGCACGGGAGGAGAAGGACGTGCTGAAGGAGCAAGTGAGCACGTTGACGACGCAGGTGGAGGCGGCGAACTTAGTGGTGCGCAAGCTGGAGGAGAAGGAGAGGATACTCCAGAACACGCTGGCGACGTGCGAGAAGGAGCTGGCGCTGCGCCAGCAAGCGATGGAGATGCACAAGCGGAAGGCCATCGAGAGCGCGCAGTCGGCGGCGGACTTGAAGCTGCATTTAGGTATTTTGGCGCGGGGTTGAGTCGGTTGTTACGGTGGGGTTTTTGCAGAGAAGTACCACTCGCAGATGAAGGAGGCGCAGCAGGTGGTGGCTGAAAAGACGAGCTCGCTGGAGGCGGAGGCGTTCAAGACGAAGAGGTTACAAGAAGAGATCGCGCAGTTGAAGCGGAAGGCGGAGAGGATGAAGAAGATGGAGTTGGCGGGGACGACTTTGGACGAGGTGATGATGGAGGAGATTCGGGAGTATAAGGAGACGTTGACGTGTCCGTCGTGTAAAGTTAAGAGGAAGGACGCGGTTTTGTCCAAATGCTTCCACGTTTTTTGCTACGATTGTCTTAAGACGAGGTACGAGACGAGGCAGAGGAAGTGTCCTAAATGTAACTGCGCGTTCGGGGCGAACGACTACCATCGCTTGTTTTTATCTAATTAAATGTAATTTTATATGTGCTAGGGAATCTGAAGTAGTATTTAAACTAGGGTTAGAGGAGCTTTTGATATGTATACATTCGTATTCTTAGTCGTTTCTTGAAGAAGAGAAACACAGTATTGACAAGGTTAGTTTTTTATTTAGTTGTTTTTGTTGTCAGAAATCAACGAGTCTTAGTAGGTAATTTATTAATTTATTTACAGTGGCATAATATTACATTCTAAAAATATGGATTTATCAAAACCATCGATTTCAAACAAAAACTCGTAAAAAATGGTCAAATCTCGTCGGTCAAACCGTAGTTATAAATAAACTAAAGCCGCAACGATCGTCACTTCTTTTATCCCAAAAAGCCGAATTTTGCGAAAAAGTGGTTGCTCCGACCGTTCCGGTTTGCCTTGAACTTGAAACCATCGATCAACCTTTTAAAACTCTTAAAACATATACAAAACAAAATATACACAAAATCGAAAAACATGGCCATCATCATATCACTATGCGAATTTCACAATTTAGGCAGTGGTGTTAATTTGTAAACTTGCAATTGCTTGTAAGAGGGCCGCGTTTGCGTTGCAGTCGGCCGCCGGAGCCGCCAACGGCATCACAGACGCGCTATGAAAATTGGTATTCTCCAGTTCTCTCTGGAGCTCCGCTAAAGGTACACACTGTTGGACTACGTTTTGATTGTTGTGAAGGACCTGAAAATCAATTAAATTACGACTAGTTCGCGTCAAACACACAACCCCGTACCTCCAACGCATTGTCGATGGCTTCGTACTGCCTTTTCGCCTCGTTAACAGCTTCCTTCAAGCTCTCAGTCAAAACTTGTCTACTAGCTAAAAATTCTTGAGTCAACTCGTCCAAGTGTCGTTCTTTTTGGGCGAGCTTCTCCTTCAGTTGAGGAACCTACGGTCGCAAATGAACAACGCTTTCAAAAAAAGTAGGTGCGTAATGACGCTGACGTCACTCGAATTGTCAACCAATCGTGACGTCAACCCATTACGCACCTACTACAAAACTCTGATTTACTTCTTTGTGGGCCGCGTTAAGCCTCGCCATCACTTCAGGCGTCGGCGCCTCGCCGCTCTCCTCCCACTTCTTCATCGCTTCCGCCGCTTCTTCGTCCTTCATCTTCATCTCCAGCTCCGCTTTGGCCAGCGCCGTGGACAACTCGCAGACGTCCTGGTTCAGCTTCTGCAACGCATTCATTAACACAAAAACGCCACCGCGACAAATACCGACCTCTACTTCGTCTCTCTGTTTGTTTAATTCCGTTTTTATGCTGTCGATTTCGTTATTCTTTTTGCTTAGTTGATGCATGAGTTCCTTCACTTCGGTTTTCAATCTCGCGCCGAGGATTTCCCAGTCTTTTAATTGTTTGCCGACGAGTTTGTTGGTTTCTTTTTGTTTGTCGACTTGTTCGGAGAGGCGGTCGCGCTGCTCCTGGAGCTCGTTCATGCAGTCGTCGTTCTCGAGTTGGATGATTCGGATGACTTTTAGTAACCGGGTGACCAAGTTGTCGACTTCGATGACTTGGTCGACGAGGGAGAACGACGGGAAGATTTCGCAGAGAGAAGGCATGTCGGTGGAGTAGCTGCTTCGGGACATGTCGAGGAAGCTGTCGCTTTGGGAGCTCAGGATACTGTGGCAGGAGGAAATCATGTTGTGGGTGTAACCGTCGGGGATGACGACGTCCTCCAGGACGTGCTCCATCATGAGGCACGGTTCGGTTTCGGAGTCCAAGAGCTCGTTCGGACTCGAGTTGTCTAAAAATCAAAATCAAAAAATTGAAGACGACTGAGTGAAGATTTACCGGCACATATGTTTTCTTTACTGACGTCCTTGTGACCCGCAAAAGGACTCTGCGCCGCTGCGTTCTTTATGGCGTTGATGACGGCGGAAACAAACGACGAACCTTTCTTAGGCGACGGCGTCTTGTCCCCCAGGAACTTCCTACACTTTTCAGGAGTGGCATCCGGACTACTACTGCTATTACTGTACGCTTCGTTATGGAAAATCACGTCCTGCACAACACAAACGTTCATTCATTTCATTTCAGGTTATTTTAAAACGTACCTCCAGCTCCTGGTCCGAAATGCTGTACGACGTAACCAACTCATCTACCAATCCTTCTAATCTTCCAATCAAAGCCGACAGCGCGACTGCCGTTCCAGACACAGAACTCCCTTGCTGCACCAACAATTCCCGACATTTCGCTTCCAAAGCGCCCATTCTTGCCTGTAAACTCAAGTTCTCTTGCCTGAAATCAATATTCTCTCATAAAACCGCTATTGTCGAGTGTTATCCTACCATCTCTGTTCGCTCAGTTTTGTCATTCGTTTACATTCGTCATGTTTCTCCTGCAGTTCTTTGTCCTTTTTCGTTAACTGCTTCTGGCATCTCGTCATCTCGTTCTCGGCTTCTTTGAGTGCGTCCGATAACGTGGTTTTCTCGGCCTGCATGAACTCCTGCAGCTCTATGCTTTCGGCTTCCAGCTCCTGCTGCTGTTGAACGAGGATTTTTTGCGAGGCTAAACTCTTCTCTAGGTCTATTTGGAGGGATCGGCAGCACGAGTTTAACTTGGAAATCTCTTCCTCTTGGCGGATCACAACCTGGCTGACGTTTTGGAAACGCGATTCTAGTACCATTAAGCTATCGCTAGAAACGTTTTCATCTGGAAGAGAAATTTTTAAATCAAAAAGGTAAAATCCATCGCTCAGTGGACGTTACAGTTAAATCCTCCGAATAAAAGCTGATTAATATTACCACAGGGTACAGTGGTGTAAATTAGCACACTGATTATAATCAGTTATATTATCTGTCTAACTACCTCTTTTTAATTTTTTTTATTATTTTCTTTTTTTTTTAAGATGGTTGTTTATTGTATAACTTGCAACAGTGCTATCACCCCTACAATTCCCGGAATTAAATTATAACCATTATCACATTAAGTGTGTTGGTATTGATAAATCCCAATACGATGCCTTCAAATCCCTAAGTGGTGCTTGTTGGAAATGTGACGATTGCCTTTCCACAAAAAGTGACACAAGACCGTGCAACTGTATTAGATACAATAAAAAATTTTAGTGAAACTGTTGACGCATTAAAGCAACAAATAACAAATTTAACATCAAATCTACCTAAAAATGACTCTAACTATGATTACGAGAGTATGGTACAAGAGGTAACTGAACGCCAAAAACGTAAAACTAATATAATTTTATATAATATGCCTGAACAAGATCCGTCTCTAAATAATGAAACCAGAAAGAACAAAGAAGCTGAATTGGTTTCCGATTTTCTGAAATTGTTACAACATGATTCTGGTAATGAGCGTTCTTCCATCCCAGAACTAATTTCAACTCCATTTCGACTTGGCAAGTATGTTACCAATAAGATTCGACCTATCAAATTAACATTTAAAGAAGAAAAAGATGTATTCAATTTATTAGGCTTAATAAAAAGGAAACGTCGTAATATTGATGCTGTTCCGCACTTTAAATCTGTGCATGCGTCATCAGATAAAACTGATAAGCAAAGGCTGTATTATAAGGAGTTACTGAACCAGATAACAAACAGACGCGAAAAAGGTGAGCTAGATTTGTTTATTAAATACATACGTGGTGTTCCGACAATCCAGAAAAAACCTTCTTTAACCTAGGCCTGCCCAATTCTGTAAAAAAGTTCTACTTATACTACCAAAATGTTCGTAGCCTCAAAAACAAAATGGATGATTTTTTGGTTTCTTCAAGTGATTCTGATTTTGATATAATTTGTTTAACGGAAACGTGGTTAATTGACTCTATAAATAATTCTGAATTTATCTTAACAGATGTTTACAATGTGTTCAGGTCTGATCGAAATTTGATAACAAATAACGTAACTCGTGGTGGTGGTGTATTATTAGCTGTCAAAGGTAACACTTCAGTTGAAAAAATCGATACTCAAGCTTTTCAAACTAATAATCCATCTATAGATCTTGTTGGATGTAAATTAAAACTTGGTTTTCAATCTCTCTCGGTTTTTGTAATATATTTTCCTTGTACTCCGTCTTTTGACGGTTTAAATGCTGTTTGTGATTTCTTTGAGGAAGAGTTAGTGAGTCTTAATAATATAATTCTAATAGGTGACTTCAATATTCCAAATTTTAATGACATCATCTCTAATAAAACAATTCTTCGTCTACAGACATTTGCACATTTTTTAAATTTAAATCAAATAAATAATATTTTCAATTCTAATAATAAATTGTTAGATTTAGCATTTTCGAATATTCAATGGGAAGTTAGCCACTTTGATAATCCAATGGTAATAGAAGACAAGTATCACCCAGCACTATCTTTAGTTTGCACCTTCTCAGTTGATAAATCGATTAATTTTCCACGCCATGGTAATGATAACCATAATATAAATGCCTTTAACTTTCGTAAAGCTGACTTGATCTCTCTTTACAATGATATCCTATTAACTGATTGGTCATTATTATCAACTCTTTCTTCTGTAGATCTGATGGTTGATTGTTTTTATAATATCCTGTTCAATTTATTCCGTAAACATGTACCTGTCTTTCGGTCAAAAAAGCGGCATTACCCGCCATGGTTCAATAGGGAAATAATAAATAATATTAAATTTAAATTCCGATACCTTAAGAAATACAGAGCTTCAGGTCTACATTCTTATTTACTGAAATTTAAAGAAATTAGGTCCCTTTTAAAGAAGCAAATAAATACTGCTTATAAATTGTATATTAACAACATTCAAATTAACATACATCATGATCCTAAGCAATTCTGGAGTTACATTAATGCTAAAAAAGGTAAAACTAGAATTCCAGGCCAAATGTCATTTGGTATAAACAAGTTTGAAAATCCTATGGAAATAGTAAATGCCTTTAGTGATTTCTTTAGATCCACCTATACTGAATCTGATCCGCTTGATGAATATTATTTAGCTGATACTGTAAATTCTACCTCATGTGTTGTAAATATATTTAAGATCACGGAAGATGATATAATAAAAGCCATCACAAGATTGAAACCAGGTATGACATCAGATCAGATTCCAAGTTTCATAATTAAGGACTGTAAGTTTCAAATTGCTAGCCACTCCTACTAATTTTTAATAAATCCCTTGAAACAGGAGTTTTTCCTAATAAATGGAAAGAATCTAAGATCTGTCCTGTCTTGAAGTCCGGTGATGCATCTAAAATTGAAAATTATAGACCAATCTCCCTGCTTTCTAATTTTGCTAAAATTTTTGAATTAATCCTATATTCCCATATCTACCCCGAAGTGAAAAATTATATATCAAAGTATCAGCATGGTTTTTTAAATTATAGATCAACAACAACTAACCTCATAATGTTCTCACAATTTGTATCTGAAAGTTTGGAAAATCAATCACAAGTCGATGTCATCTATACGGATTTTACAAAGGCATTTGATCGTATTGACCACAATATTCTTCTTAAAAAACTTGTAAATTTTGGTTTCACTTGTACATTATTAAACCTTTTTCGATCCTATCTTACTCTCCGTACTCAATTTGTGCAGTATACAACTTTGTATCTTATTCTTTTATTGCTAGCTCAGGAGTTCCTCAAGGATCTATATTAGGGCCACTTCTCTTTAATTTATACATAAATGATCTACCTTCCAGCATACACTGTTCAATTTTGTTATTTGCAGATGACGCGAAAATATTTCATAATATTAACTCATTAGCAGATGCTATCTTTCTTCAAAAAAACTTAACCAGGCTCTATGAGTGGTGCATCAGCAATAAATTTAAATTGAGCCTTCCTAAATGCAAAATTATTTCATTTACTCGAAAAAACAACATTATTACTTATGATTATGAAATAGATCAAAGCATACTCCCGCGATATAACACTGTTAAAGACTTAGGTATATACTTTGATAAGGCTTTTCGATTTGATCAACATTATTTTAATATTATTTCATCCTGTAATCGGACGCTGGGTTTTATTATACGTAATAGTAAATCTTTCTATAATACTGACTGCCTCGTAGCCTTATACAGAACACTTATTTTGAGCAAGCTTGAATATGCTTCCATTGTGTGGTATTCTATATATCAAACCTACAATGTCATAATTGAAAACGTAAATTCCTAAAATACTTATTCTTAAAATCTCATAAAGTTTATCCCCCAAGAGGATATAACCACGATCTTCTCCTAGATGAATTTAAGTTTATCCCTGTTTTAGTAAAGCGTCAAACTAATGTTCTACTTCTATTATATAAATTACTTCACTCCCAATTGGATATACCTCAAATGCTTGAAAAACTGAACTTTTTGGTCCCACGAATATATGCCAGACATCATTCAACTTTCACCTACAATATCCCCAGGACAAATATGATTGTTAGATCGCCGCTATACCTGATGTCATCTTTATATAATGAAGTTTGTAATGATGTTGACATATTTCATTTGAGATATTCAACGTTTAAAAAATGTGTTGAAAGATTTTTTTTTTGAAAAAGTAGGTAATATTTAGTAGTATTCATTAATTTTTGTATTAATTTAGTATTAGTTTAGCCACTAATCTATCGTTTCGTAGTTTATTTTTCTTTTTATTTAGTTCTTTTTTTTACATACAATTGTTCTTTTAAGTTGTACCTGTAATTGGTGTATTTTACACTGTTGGGCAATAAAGACATTATTATTATTATAAAACTTTTTTTGCATTCGTGTCAAACTTTGAATAATCTCGCTGTCGTTCGTCTGCAACCCTCGAAAGCAACATTATTCCGGATTACAAGTTGCTCCCTTTCGTGCAAAAATTTAATAACCGCGTTCTCGCGCTCCCGTCCAACTCTTTCAAGGAGAGTCCGCAAACAAAATCAAGTCCTAAATTAAGACAGTTAGGTAACGAACCGCAATTGAACGAGGTTAAGTGTCCTTGCCTGCCGCGAATAAAAACATTTGATGCAATCATCTCATTGTTATTGATTCGAACTTGTCCCCTGCAGCGTTAAGAGAATTGATGCAACGATTTGTTTATTTTTAGACTCGCCAGCTGCCACTTACCATCACTGGGATTGTTCTCTCCTAAAATCGCCAGAACCCTCTGCGAATTGTTCTTCAGTTCTTCTTGTAGCCCCTCTTTTTCGACTGTCTCCTGGCGCAGTTTCCCTTCGGTTTCGACCAGTTTCTCGCCTTGTGTTTTGTGCTCTTTCTGGAGCGCCTCGTACTTGTCCCTCAAGTCTTTAATTTGTGCTTGCAGCGTCTCGATATCCTTTATGCTCATATCGACCTGCTCGTTTTTATCACATTTTTCGACGTCCGTAGGCGCCAGCGGCGTCACGTTCAGCCCGGCGAAGGCCTTGTCGACGTCGCTCACGGTCAGAGCGGTTTGGACCATGGTCTCGTGGTAGATTTTGATTTTTTGTTTCTTTTTCAACAAGGTGTTCTTGGACGGTGTTGTTTCTTTAGACCCTGGTTTTTTCACGATGCGAATGGGCTCTTTCTTGGTTTCTTCGTTCAATTTATCTTTTCTCCTCCGAGGAAGAGTGGCGTACTTTTCTATGGTTTTCGTGTCCATTTGTCTGAGCTTGGGCGCGTCTAAAATGCCTCGTAGAGAGCGCGACATCAACGGAGCCGGTTTGCTATTGATGGAGGGCCATCTGCCGTCGTCCGTCGGCGTGACGCACGGGGTTTTCACCGCCCTAGCCGACGACGGTCTCTTCGGTTCCTTCTTCGTCAAGTCTAAACTACCCGGCGTCGATTTCTTCGGAGTTTTCCCTTGCAATCTATCGATAGATTTAAGTCTAGCTGGGTTGTCGCACCTTCTGGGTATCGGCGGCTTCGACCTCGACCTCTCCTTCGTCACCGTCTTCTCCTGCACGTTCACTTTCTTCTTAGCGTTGATCACCCGCTTGGAGTTCCTCGAGCAAGAGCTTCCCGTCACCGAAGAACTCTCGCTCCCGTTTTCGCTCGTCCCATCGCAGTTCCTCCCCGTGTAGTCCTCCAACAAAGTCGAGTTCCTCCTCACCAGAAGGTTGTAAGCGTCGTCGAAACACCCGCTGATGATGGAAGAGTCGCACGATCTCGCGATCGTATCAAACTCGTTGGCACTATTCGAACTCAAAGCACGCTGGTAGAAAGCGGAGTCGTTGAGTTCCACCACTTCCACCCCGCTGTCGCTACCCTCAAACAAGTGAATCTCCGGCGACTTCTCGATGACGGTGACGTTCGACACTACGTTAAACCCGTGGATCGTGCTGTCAGCCTCCTCGCTGCTGTTGAGTCTCGTGGTGACCGAATCTTCGACCGAGTGGAGAGGCGGCGACTCGGCTTCCATGTTGGAGGCGGCTCAATTATTCATTCTGGAACAAGCCAAACTCTATTTATAAGATTAGATTTTATCCGCGGTTTTAAATTTGAGAGCGCTAGTGCAAGGAGAACTACAATTATGTAACCTTTTGCGGATCCGTGAGATCATCGAGAGCTGGAATTTTAAATGCATCGGGTTCGATACACGACGCTTACATAATTTATAAACAAACATCCTGTCGCCGGGGCCGCTACAAATCAAATTATTTATGCGAGGATTTGTATGCACATGTGGAAAAATTGATGGTGACCTCCAAAGGGACGAAACTATTGATCTGGAACACGATTTTCGCACGAGATGTAATCGCGGAATTTGTTGTTATTTAATTGTGTGATAAGATAGAAGTGAGATGTAAATAACAAAACAATGACTTGAGTTACACAAATAAACCAAGATTGATTGATTTGGCTGATTATTATGACAAATTGACAAAGCGCTTGTATAGTAGGTGTTTTTTTGCGAAAGGCGGCACACTTATAAGTCTGTTCGTTTCAAGCGCGAGCGGTTTCGTGAATTCGACAACGTTCCGCGACCTTTCCTTTTTATTACCCGCTCCATTACTTCGAGCCGTGCCAAGTCTATCCCGCTTCAGTCTTAAATGGCGCGTTTTCAGGCTTGCGGGTTTGCTTTTACGATCTCCACCGCTTTTTTTCGGGAAAAATGTTAAGGCTAACACGTTTAACAACTTGTCAGAAATTTTTACTCGCTTTCGTTAAAAGGCAATTAGCGATTATAGCAAATGTGAACTTGACATTAAGTGATACAGGTAATCATCGTGGAATAGGAAACACGCGAATTTTACCGTTTAATCAAATTGTGACGCAAATTCAGCGACGGTGGAAATCCGTTCCGTGTACACATCCACAGACACGAACACTATTTTCAAAAATAATATCCATTAATCGCGAACAAAACGACAAATCAACAAGATGCGCGCTTGATGGCGATCAGCCAAGCAGAAATTTTGTTCATGTCACCGGATAGAGCGAATTCCGAGTCGGATGACAATAGCCAGAAATATTTATTACGGTAATTATTGAAAAACGAGCGGAATTTATGCAGCCCCGTAGCTAGAAAACTTATTCAGGGGGGGCAAGTTTGTCGACAGAGGGGGCTTCATGTAAATATTTATATTTTAATAATACACTCAAATAATTACTTTATTTTTTCTGAGTTTTTATATTTGAAAGAACATTAAAATAATCGGAACCGTCGATTTTTTACGCTAAATTTTCGTAAAAACCTGTCGAAGTCCAAAAAATTAGTACGGTACTTGGTTAAAATGCTGGTTAAAACAAAGAATGTAGATTCAGAAACAGCTGTACTGCATCCAAAAATTTGTGTAGTGGCCATATAGGTAACATCCAATTTGTTTGAGTTTATTTTTTTGCATGTTTAGTACATATTTTAAAAATCCGACTTCGAAACCAAATATTTCGAAACTTTTGTTACGGAACCATGAACTCGTCATTTTTTTTTAAACTCGTCGAGATGTGTATTTCAGAATTTTTTGTCAACTTTAACAAAAGCTCAATTTTTGGAAACCCATATAAAATTTTTGACTTTTCCCAAGCATTTTCGAAAATTACCAAAAGAATTCCTTTGTTCATCTCGATTTCTTCCAAAAATCGTTTTGGATTCAATTTTTTTGAAAATTCTTACATTTTTTGCAGAATCGACGGAAGAAATATGGCAATTTTTGAGAACCTGTATCAAATTTTTGACTTTTTTCAAGCACGTTCGAAATTACCAAAAGGGATTCCTTTATTGATTTCCATCTCCAGATGTTGTTTTTGGTTGTTTTTTCGAAAATTCGTACAATTTTTCCACAATCGCCAAAAGAAATATGGTAATTTTTGAGAAATTTTGAAAATTCGAGGTCGAAACCGAGTATTTCGAAAATTTTGATCCGGAACCATGAACCTGTCATGTTTTTTTAAGCTCGTCCAAATCTGTATTTCAGAATTTTTTGTCAACTTTACGAAAGTTCAATTTTTGAAAACCCATATAAAATTTTTGGCTTTTCCAAGCATTTTCGAAAATTACCAAAAGAGATTCCTTTATTCATGTCGATTTCCAGAAATCGTTTTGGATACAATTTTTTTGAAAATTCTTACATTTTTTCCAGAATCGACGGGAGAAATATGGCAATTTTTGAGAACCTGTATCAAATTTTTGACTTTTTTTCAAGCACGTTCGAGATTACCAAAAGGGATTCCTTTATTGATTTCGATTTCCAGATGTTGTTTTTGGTTGTTTTTTCGAAAATGCGTACAATTTTTCCACAATCGCCAAAAGAAATATGGTAATTTTTGAGAAATTTGAAAATTCGAGGTCGAAACCGAGTATTTCGAAAATTTTGATCCGGAACCATGAACCTGTCATGGTTTTTTAAGCTCGTCCAAATCTGTATTTCAGAATTTTTTGTCAACTTTACGAAAGTTCAATTTTTGAAAACCCATATAAAATTTTTGACTTTTTCCAAGCATTTTCGAAAATTACCAAAAGAGATTCCTTTGTTCATGTCGATTTCCAGAAATCGTTTTGGATTCAATTTTTTTTGAAAATTCTTACATTTTTTCCAGAATCGACGGGAGAAATATGGCAATTTTTGAGAACCTGTGTCAAATTTTTGACTTTTTTTCAAGCACGTTCGAGATTACCAAAAGGGATTCCTTTATTGATTTCGATCTCCAGATGTTGTTTTTGGTTATTTTTTCGAAAATTCGTACAATTTTTCCACAATCGCCAAAAGAAATATGGTAATTTTTGAGAAATTTTGAAAATTCGAGCTCGAAACCGAGTATTTCGAAAATTTTGATCCGGAACCATGAACCTCTCATGTTTTTTTAAGCTCGTCCAAATCTATATTTCAGAATTTTTTGTCAACTTTTACGAAAGTTCAATTTTTGAAAACCCATATAAAATTTTTGACTTTTCCCAAGCATTTTCAAAAATTATCAAAAGAGACTCCTTTGTTCATCTCGATTTCCGAAAATCGTTTTGGATTCAATTTTTTTGAAAATTCTTACAATTTTTCCAGAATCGACGGAAGAAATATGGCAATTTTTGAGAACCTGTATCAAATTTTTGACTTTTTTCAAGCACGTTCGAGATTACCAAAAGGGATTCCTTTATTGATTTCGATCTCCAGATGTTGTTTTTGGTTGTTTTTTCGAAAATTCGTACAATTTTTCCACAATCGCCAAAAGAAATATGGTAATTTTTGAGAAATTTTGAAAATTCGAGCTCGCAACCGAGTATTTCGAAAATTTTGATCCGGAACCATGAACCTGTCATGTTTTTTTAAGTTCGTCCAAATCTACATTTCAGAATTTTTTGTCAACTTTTACGAAAGTTCAATTTTTGAAAACCCATATAAATTTTTTGACTTTTCCCAGGCATTTTCAAAAATTACCGAAAGGGATTCCTTTATTGATTTCGATCTCCAGATGTTGTTTTTGGTTTTATTTGGTTGAAAAGTCGTAAAATTTTTCAGCAATCGCCAAATGAAATGTAATTTTTGAACTTTGAAACCGAATGTTTCGAAAATCTTGATCTGGGACCATCTAGACCTTGTGTTTTTTGATTGAGCTCGTCGAGATCAACATTTCAGATTTTTTTGTGGATTTTTAGTCAACTTCAACAAAAGCTAAATTTTTGAAAATCCATAAAATGTTTTTGACTTTTCCCAACCGTTTTCGAAAATTAGCAAAAGGGATCTCTTTATCGATTTCGATCTCCAAATGTTGTTTTTGGTTTTATTTTCTCGAAAATTTGTACAATTTTTCCAAAGCCGCCAAAAGAAATGTAATTTTTGAGAAATTTTGAAATGTTGACTTTGAAACCGAATTTTTCGAAAATCTTGGTCTGGGACCATCAAGACCTTATGTTTTTGGATTAAGCTCATCGAGATCTACATCTCGGAATTTTTTGTTGATTTTTTGTTAATTTCAACAAAAGCTCAATTTTTTAAAATCCATATACATTTTTTGACTTTTCCCAAGCATCTTCGAAAATTAGCAAAAGGGATCTCTTTATTGATTTCGATCTACAGATGTTATTTTTGCTTTTATTTTTTTGATATTTCGTCGAATTTTTCCACAATCGCATAAAGAAATAACTTTTTTTTAAGTCACTTTTGAGATTTTTTAGAAATTTTAGGTAGAAACCCAATATTTCGTAAATTTTGCTCCGGGAGCATGAACATGTTTTTCGATTAAGCTAATCGAGATCTATATTTCAGAATTTTTTGTCAACTTTAACAAAAGCTCAATTTTTTGAAACCCATATAAAATTTTTGACTTTTCCCAAGCATTTTCGAAAATTACCAAAAGAATTCCTTTGTTCATCTCGATTTCTTCCAAAAATCGTTTTGGATTCAATTTTTTTGAAAATTCTTACATTTTTTGCAGAATCGACGGAAGAAATATGGCAATTTTTGAGAACCTGTATCAAATTTTTGACTTTTTTCAAGCACGTTCGAAATTACCAAAAGGGATTCCTTTATTGATTTCGATCTCCAGATGTTGTTTTTGGTTGTTTTTTCGAAAATTCGTACAATTTTTCCATAATCGCCAAAAGAAATATGGTAATTTTTGAGAAATTTTGAAAATTCCAGCTCGAAACCGAGTATTTCGAAAATTTTGATCCCGAACCTTGAACCTGTCATGTTTTTTAAGCTCGTCGAAATCTATATTTCAGAATTTTTTGTCAACTTTTACGAAAGTTCAATTTTTGAAAACCCATATAAAATTTTTGACTTTTTCCAAGCATTTTCGAAAATTACCAAAAGAGATTCCTTTGTTCATGTCGATTTCCAGAAATCGTTTTGGATTCAATTTTTTTTGAAAATTCTTACATTTTTTCCAGAATCGACGGGAGAAATATGGCAATTTTTGAGAACCTGTGTCAAATTTTTGACTTTTTTTCAAGCACGTTCGAGATTACCAAAAGGGATTCCTTTATTGATTTCGATCTCCAGATGTTGTT